TGTTAAAATCTAATCCTGTTTCATGTCAGGTGGCATTTATGATTCAGCTGGAGCTGGTAGGTATAATGATGGCATCTGGATCCCTCTCTCTGGCCTGATCTGGTCAAGTCATCACTCAGTATTAGGACAAAGAATCTAGAAAAGGGCAGGGTGTGGCCACCAGAGTAGCGAAGCTCATTCCAGTAGCCTCTGTGTGCTCTTCCATTTTCCCCCAAAGTCTCTTTCTTCAGTGATCCACCAAGAGAGAAGTGGGTGAAACAGCATGTCCTCTTTATTTTGTGCACCAGTTAGGCCTAATATCTGGTGCACCAATCTTCTCCAGTCCTACATCTTTTTTCCCCCCCAGCATGATTTTAATACAGCCCTTGAACCATTTCAGTAGGTCCCTTAGTTCAGATTAACCTAGTTTTTTCTACTGCATCTATTTATAACATTCACCATAAAAGTGATTTCACCTACTTTTCATTAAGAACTTTCATATACTTTTTTACAGTTGGGTGTTTAATTGGGGGACATTTGTAAGCCCAATTATCATAACATGAGACTCTTTATTCAGATTTAAAGTGTGTCAAAGCTAATGTTAAAAATGTACATAATACACAGGTAAAGAAACATCTGAGTATAGTGCTTAGATAGCCACACATACAGGCTGGACCTTGCTGGTCCGGCACCCTGGGGACCTAACTGGTCCCAAAAGAGGAGATTTGCCAGACCAGAGTTGGTCCCTCACTCCTGGCCCATGTTACCACCGGGTTAGGGAGCCAGCCTGCTCCTGCTGCTGCCCCAGCCCCCCAGGGCTCTCTAGATGCTGCCAGCTCTGCTGCTGCTGGGCGGAGCACCACGGTCAAAGCTCTGCAGCCGGGGCAGAGGTCCACAACCACCTGGCTCCATGGCCAGGGCCAGAACTCTGCAGCCGGGGCCAGAGCTGTGCAGCTGGGGCCAGAGCTCAGCAGCTACCTGGCCCTACAACCAGGGCTGGAGTTGCACAGCTGGGGCCGAAGCTGCACAGCCATCTGGTGCTGTGGCCAGAGCTGCACAGCTGGGGCAGAGTTCAGCAGTTCCCTGGCTCCATGGCCAGGACTGGAGCAGCGCAGCCAGGGCTGGAGCGGAGGCCAGGGACAGAGCTCCCTGGCCACTGCTGGGGCTGGAGCTCTACAGCTGCTCCTGGGGCCAGAACTCCCAACTGTGCCACCTGTTCTGCCCACACACACTGGGTTCTGATGCCCCCTACTGCACTCCTGCCCCGCCACCAGACCTCCCTGTTCCTGGGCTCTGTGGTCCAGGAACATCTATGGTCCATGCTGGACCACGAATGTTGCCAGATCAGGGAATCCCAGTTAAGGGAGGTACAACCTGTACAAAGTTTGTTTTAAAAGTCATAAGATACATATAGTATATACTCAGCAATAGCTCACATTTAGGTGAATACATCTAACAATTTAGATATTAGCATCCAAATTATACAGGTACATTATTCATGAGAAGCTTTATGTAGAGTTGGTTGCAGAAAACAGATATATCAATGAGTGAAGACTGATCCTCAGTAATTACAAATTTAGGGTAGGTTGTCTGTTAGAAAACACAGTACATTAGGAAAGTATTTGAGTTACATTTCCAAACACACTTCTCATCAGCACTTCATCTCTTCCTTCCTGGCACTGCTGATGTCCAGTAATGCGTTCTAGATAGATGTTCTTTGACCATCTGATGGCATCTGAATCATTAGTTGCCACATCAGTGGAGTACAGCATTGACCGATTCCATATTCTCCCAGCACTCGCTCATTCCTGGGGTCCCATGCACCCAGGGCTCTAATGATCAGCACATGAGTTTGAACCTCGTAGTCCCTCGCTTTCAAGGTGTTGGCCAAAGGGGGATATTTCTCAGCTTTTGAGCATTCTTAGTTCAGATTGTTCCTTAAACAGATTTAGCACAATCTAAAATAAAAAGAGCCACGCATAGACTTTCACTTAAATAATAAAAAGTGTGAATTATGTCACTTTAGTTCTTTCTGTGAAAGTCTGCATTTAGAGAAGACTAAGTCTGCACTTAGAGAAGCCCTTATAATAAAGAGAAATAAAAGCAGCCATTGTCTTTTGCATCTCATTAACTAAACCTAACTTTAAACCAGTGAAACTGAATATAGACAAGACCCGAGTAGGGAAGAGCCTACTGTTTATTGATGCCAGGACTCCATTGCTGAAAAACTGTAAGAACAAAAAAGACACCACATTTCCTAGAATAGTAGAGAAATTTCTGCATAGTTATGTTTCAGAACTCACTTAGAAGGAGAGAATATAGTGCTGGTGACGCAGCTGGAATAGGGATAGCTCATGATCTTTCATGTTTTAAAATAATTCAGTGGGGGGAAATATGCTGATCTGGGTGAGAATAATAGGAAAAATGCCTTCAGAAATATTTCTGAACAATGTTCACTTTTCCACATTAGGTACAATTTAGTGGTAGGTGGCACTTGCTTCTTTATTTCAGTTATTCCAAATAAGCATAATTCTCATTAGTTGCAGCTGAGAAGATGACAGGCTTCACCTTTCTTCACTATGGCAGCAACAAAATAGAAAACACTGAACCAGATCTGGTCTGTAATATTTATTCAGAGTAACACTGTACTGCATTTTCTGATCCCCAAGTTAATGAGTAACCAAAGATTTTCACCAGAAGTCAGATCCTCAGATGTTCTGAGCTCTTCTGAAGGAAGGCAAGTACTTTCAATTCCTACTGAAGATGCACTGTTAAGGGCTCAGCACCTGACAGGATTAAGCAGCAGTGAAGAAATGTCTTCAGTATCCATGGGCACAGCGTAAAACGTATCATAGATTCATTTATATTAAATGCATATCCCAGAGGCAGTAAAAGTATGCTACATGTTGAGAAGTTAAATGAACTGTCTCGCTAAAACTACTGAACTCACGTGCTGGTGTACACTTGTCATTCCTTGTGCATGAAAGAAGAGATTTTGAAGATTAGTGAAAACAATGAATAAAAAAAAGCCCAAAACTAGAAAGAACATGTGAAAAGAAGAGCTAAATAAATCCTCTACAAATATGCTGCAGCAAATAATCCCTCAAAAAGGTACATTATTTACTATTTAAAAAGTCACCAATTGTGATGATTTTACACAGCTGAGCAAAATTATTGATTTTACTGATTTGTAATTTCAGGCCATATTCACGCAACTAAAACAACAATTCCTTTTTAAACAGTTCTGAAATTTATTGTGGCCCAACTGTTATTAACACACTTTCTTCTTGACTTCATGAACAGAAAAATATTGCTACAACCTATTAAGTAATCATATTTCATTTTAGGGATCTACAAAGTTTAAAACGGTCCCTGACACATATTCTTTTTTTGACCACAAGGAATCATTATGTTGTAACCTAGCTGGGATACATACAACTATGTCTTACAATGGACTGTAATTTCTGAAGCACAGAGGTAGTTTATATGATAAGTCTAGTCATATAGGGAGACTACCGTATTTTCCGCCGTATAAGGCTACTGGGCGTATAAGACGACCCCCTAATTTTTTAGTTAAAAGATAGGGTTTCGTCTTATACCCCAGCGCCCCTCCGCCTCCCCGGCTTTGCTCCCGGTGCCTCTGGTCTGCTGAGGACCGTCTCCAGCAGACCAGGGACACCGGGAGCAAAGTCTCTGAGGACGCCCCGGCAGCGGGACAGCCCCGGCGGGCCTGGGCTGCCCCGCCGCCGGAGCCCCTCCGCGGCTTTGCAAAGCCTCAGGGGAAGCCAGCAGCGGGGCAGCCCAGGCCCGCCGGGGCTGTCCCGCTGCCGGGGCGTCCTCAGAGACTTTGCTCCCGGTGTCCCTGGTCTGCTGGAGACGGTCCTCAGCAGACCAGAGGCACCGGGAGCAAAGCCGGGGAGGCGGAGGGGCGCTGGGGTATAAGACGAAACCCTATCTTTTAACTAAAAAATTAGGGGGTCGTCTTATACGCCCAGTAGCCTTATACGGCGGAAAATACGGTAGTTCTAATACAATTTCCCATAAGGTGGTAAAAGTATGGTTCCATTTTGTAGTGCACATGGATGCTTTCGCACTGTCCAGAGAAAGTCAAAGTTTTATGTATACAGGTACTACAAAAATAACTATGTTGTGAGATAACCGTGCGGTAGCTAGGTCACCTGATATACATGAAACTGTAGCACAGACTAACCCCCATTCAGAATGCAGACTAACCCCCATTCAGAAGACCACAACACAGAGATTGGCCACAATATTGACAACAGGGGGCTCTGCAGGAGGAGGGGGATGAATAGCGCCCGGATGCGATTATGCAAATGAAGTTCAGGAAATTCAAATCTATGCTTCATTTGCAATTTCGCTCAGCTGCATTTGCATTCCTCTCTCAAAAAAGGAATGCAGTGTAGACATACCCTAAATTCCCTCTTAACACAGTTTTCCTGGAAATAACAGATCATGTCATATTGTAACCTAGGATATAAGAATATGGACTTGAAATCCAGGAGAAGCTATATACTTACCTAGTGCATGACTACAGCTGCGACATGGGTCGGCAAGACTGACAATTGTCTGCTGCAAATCTGCCCTGGGAGGAGTAGGAGGTGGGTTAGGGTTTTTCCAGCCATTACATTTGCAAGATTCCTCAGCCTGAAATAAAAACAGACAATTAATTTATCTACCACTCAACTCATGTATTTCATGTTTTCTAAAAATGCACAGAAATAAAGTAGCTCTCATTACTTAAAAGCAGAGGGTTTCACAATGATCTGTGGAAGCCCATTGTAGTAAGATGAAGGTCTGAAACTTAAGCCCAGGTCTGGTATGAGATCTGAAGCCAGGACAGCAATGGTCAAGACTTTGCTGATATAAAGAAGAGTTAAGCTGTGAGCAAAGGCCCCAGCTCACAGAAGTTGGCAAGAACAGGGCTGATATTACAGACACACTCATGCCTAAGGGACACTAGGCACAGTCTGTAAACATATTCCAAAGGGATCGTAACAGAACATCTCATGAAGAAATATCTTAGTGCCAACTAGGGATGAAATTGTGTAGCTGATTAACCGATAAGCAAACGCTTATAGGTTAATGCTATAGACTACACACATTTTCCTCCCCCGACCCTTGTCAGTAATTTTTTTAGCAGGCTGGCCAGTAGCCCAGCTCAGTTCTGGCTCATGCCACGTTTAGAACCTACCCCTGCTGTGGCTCTGCATGTAAAGTGTATTAGGAGCCAGGTGGGCAGACAGTCCGGGTCAGTTACGGCTTGCACCGGGTCCAGGAGCTCAGAACGCCCCCTCTTAGACAGGGGCTGCTGCCAAACTGCGCTGTTGCCTCTTTAACAGAGGCAGCAGCACTGGGCAACAGGCAGCCAGTCCACAAGGGGAGCTGGTTTTTAAACTGTCTCCCCTCGTGGACCAGCTCTCGCCCCCTGCTTGCTTCTTTTTCTCCAACAAGGAGGAGTTCTGTCTGTACAGGCAGTCCCCGGGTTACGTACAAGATAGGGACTGTAGGTTTGTTCTTAAGTTGAATTTGTATGTAAGTCGGAACTGGTACATATTGTAGGGGAAACTCTAGCCAAACATTTCTCCAGAGCTCAGTTTTATTCTCCCACACCTCACTTCCCTCTGTCCTTTATTCTCAAGCTGAGGTGTCTGCTGAGAAAAGCCGCTCCACGTCTCCTTGGTCTGCTGGGGGGAAGCAGCTAGTGAGGGGTTGCCTCACCCCGTTTGTAAGTAGGGATCCGATGTAAGTCAGATCCGTGTAACCCAGGGACTGCCTGTATTCAGTTAACCAATATTTAACATCCCTAGTACCAACCTCCTCCCCACAAATAACAGGCATACCCAGGTTCAGAACTGTGCTTAAACGGACAACATGATTGATTGTATGAGGTAAGGGGTAGTAACTAAGCAACAGTAGGTGGCAACCTGATTCATCAGGAGTGATGTGTAACTTGTTTGTACATGTGTATAACAGTGAACCCCAAAGAGTTGTCTTTGTCTGACATAGGGAGCAATGTCAAATTCCATGGCATTGACTCGAGTCAGGCCAATGTAATGGGCATATATGTGTTAGCCTAACTGTAGACTCCTTGGTCCAGGGAAGCTAAGGCTGTGCCTCATCTACAAAAAACCGCACCTGATGCCTTTGATCCTTATCTGATATTGTTGTCTTTGGGGGCTCTCTTGAAAATTGCTGCGTTGACTACTCATGCATGGTCAACACAGTAAACAGGGGAGCAAACGCATGAACGCACGTAGCCAAACAGCTATCATCACTGAAGGAGCAGGAGACAGGTCAGGACACCACTAGTGATGCCTGACTACTACACACATCACTGATTTCAATTGGTCAGAAGATAACAGCTGAGAAAAAAGACTAGCACTCCAAACCACAGGATAACTCCTCTACAGCAGATCCTGACTCCAACTTATGTGCAAAAGCAGCTTTCATCTATTTGATGTGCTGGCTTCTATTACTATATCATCTAGACACTTTTATAAATTAAAACAATGAAACAGATCATCCATCAGGTAGCATTCACATCACAGCCCTGTCTTCTATATTGCTGATTAGGAACCATACAGACACATGAAGACCCCAAAGCAAAATGAAATAAACAACACACCATGCAGTACAGGTGTCACAACCACAGGTTTGGACAAATTACCAAAACAAGGGATTCCAGAGGCAATAGTCTCTACCAAGGAAATGGTGCAGTTTATATTTCAGAAGGTTTAGAGCAAAATATTGATGGCAGAAGTTAACTAGTATGACTGATTATAAGGTAGAAGTGGGCCAGCAAGTAGGCAATTCCAGACATTCAGAAGTTGAAGTGGCACTGTTCCACTGGAATGTTAACACTTCAAAAGCAAATTACTTGGTACAAGAGCAGCACTGATGGTATTTTCTTTTCCTCTGACTACCAGCAACAAAGCAACTAAAGACCGTTTGGATTTTCCTAACAGAACTCATATTCCAATCTGAAGACCTGTCTACAAGAAGAGCATCTTCTCTCTGCTCTACATTTAGAAATATTTATGTACTGCACTGTAACAAGATACACAATAATTTGCTGTTCTGGGTTCTTAGTAATGAAATGACTGCAAAATGCTGCATAAAAATTAAAAGTAAGTGTAGCACCACAATTTGTAGTGCCAATGTTTATCTTGTGTGTGTCATATTCAGAAAGGGTTTGAAAAATAAATAATGTAACCTATTCCTACAAAAGTTCATTATCTTTTTTTGAATTGCCTTAAGGCACCAGTGCCCAAAGGAGGCATTAGAGACTGCAGCTTTTCAGATGCCACAACTGAAATATTAGTCAATTTTGTTGAAGTAGTTCTTCAACTCCATCATTTCAAGTCTTACACCCTGGGCTCTGAGAACTGCAATGCTGAAGGCTGCCTCTTTGCTGGACAACACAACACATGACTTGTTTTCTCTCCATAACATTTGAGCACTTACATTTTCCTGGATATATTTGGAAGGGCTGGTCGCACCACCCATTTATCCCTGTGGTACAGTCTGTGTGTGCATGCCAAATGAGAGTCTGACTGCACCCTATGCTGTCAGGCCCATCAGAAGAGATGAAGAAGGTCTATGCATGAACTGAAATCAACAGGCTGACTTAGGCAGATTTGTCCCTAGAGGTTCCCAGGAAGCACATACCAGCTCACCACCCTTGGAAAAAATAAATGTGCTTCTTCCTCTCTGTCCACATACACATGCTACTGTCGGGGCATGAAATGGCAGGCAGAAATGTGAGCAGCTATCTACAGCTGAGAGATATATCCTAGTGGGGGAGGGAGCCACTAGGCCCCCAGATAGGATTGCCAGAAGTCCATTTTTTTTTTTACCAGAAAGTGTAGTAGAAAAGGGGGCCTGGAAGGGGTGCTGGAAAGGGGGGGATCAGAGGCCCTTTACCATGACACTTAAAAGTAGAAGGTGGCTATTTCCTCCCACTTTTTTCTGACCATAAGAGTGGGGGGAAGGGTGGAGAGGAGTGAACAGGAGCAGGACCTCAGGTGAATACGCAGCTTGAGGGTGCAGCCTCAGGGAAAGGCGCAATGCAGGGGAGGGGCCATAGTTTGAGAACACCCCTCCACCTCATCCGTGCACACACACATACAGGGAGCTTCCGATGCTCCTAAGACAAGGCAGTGTTTGATCAGTACTGCTGACCAGTAATTGGATTTTTAGTGTCTGGAATAACTGCAATTAGCCTCACTGCTGAAAGGGCAGGAAGAGCAGCAGCTGCTGATGGAGAGACGTGGCTCCCAGACCCAGAGTTCCAACCTTTGGCAGAAAGGTAGCTACTGGCGCTATTTCCAGGGAGATCCTATCCACACCCCTCCACCTCAGCTTGTCCCGATTGCCCCCACCCTGGCCCCTCACTCCAGGGACGACTCCTCCTCCGCCCTGCTGTGCCCTAATTGCCCCCAGCCATTGCTTCTTTTCTGAGCTACAATCTGATCACTGTGCCCCGACTGGGCAGGCAGGCAGGCTTCAAGTCAACGCCTCCCAGCCTGGTGAATCCCTGGAAAGAGAGCAATAGAGCCAGAAAAGTGAGTGGGAGTTGGGTCTGAGGAAGAGGATGGGCCAGTGGTATCTTGGGGGAAAGGCAAGGCAGGGAATAGGGCAGAAGTGTCTGGTTTTCAACTATTAGAAAATTGGCAACTCTACTCTCAAATGATGAGTCAGTATGTGGCGAAAGGGAGAGACAGCTTTGGAGGCAGAGAGCTGTGGGAGGTATAAGGCCTTTTTTTTTTTCCAGAGTAAGTGGAAGTCTGGAAGGATTTATGAAAATTCTAGTGAATTTTAGGCTATTTGTCTGTGCTGTTTCCTCTAGCATTCAAAGAAAAATACCGGAATATACCTAAGCTGAATATATGTGGTCTTCCAGATACTTATATGGAGAAACACTCATGCTTTTCACACTAACAAGCATGGGCTCTACTTTTATTTGAGTCACCCCAAAATTGTGGAACCTATTTATCTTTAGAAACTAGAAAGAAAAGGCACAGGTTCGAGTGATGCCTGTGAAGCAAGGATACTGCGTATTGTAAACCTTCCTGGAGCCCTGATCATCTCTTTGGGGAGGTCTACACTGCAACAGCAAGTCACAGACACCGGACTAGGTGACTCCGGCTCTCTGGGCTTAGGCTGTGGAGCTATAAAACCGTAATGTAGACATTCGAGTTCGGGGTGGACCTCGGACTCTGAGATCCTGCCCCCTCAGCAGCCGAGTCCAAGCCAGAGCCCAAAAGTCAGTTTACCTTGGCCAGCCAAAACTAGGCTGCAGATCTTTTATTACAGTGTAGACGTACTCTTTGAGACTCTTAAATATCATATATTTTCTTAGGATGCAGAGTAAGACAAAATCTGATGCCATCCAAATAGCCCAGGCATGCTTTGTGGGAAAGTCAGCTTCTCCATCAAATTGTTTATTTTTTGCAATTCCTAATATGTAACTGTAAATCTAGAACCTTGGTGTTGCACTAATGCTAATTATTCTGTAAGAGGAAGAAAAAACAGCCTGGAATAGAACAAATCATCATTAAGGAAAATACAAAAGATAGTAATAAAGGAATGTTCAAAAATAGAAACCAGAATATTTGTAAAGGGGACTTTTAAATAATATTTTA